CCAGACTCACCAAAAAAACGGCTCACAGATGTTGGTCATAATCGAACAAAAGGCTCATGCGGCTGCCCTAAGGTATAGCAGCCTGGTCAGACGCGGCGAGCTAAATCATTGTTCGTTTTTGCAGTTTGTCCCGCAAGAGTTTCACCAGGCGTGCAAGGACGGGATGACTCGAAAGGGGTAGAGAGAGGCTACCCCTAGTGCGAGCGTCCTGGAGACAGGAGATGATGCTCCCGCCAGAGGTTTTTCCTTCCAAGGCGTGTGAAGTTAACTTCGTGGTCCGCCTCAGTAGTTACGCAGCAGGGGGAGGTGGAGGGGGAGGGGGAGGATATCGTTTCTTCCACCGCGGCGCACACATCAGCTATCCTTGATCCGTGATCCGTGGTCAACATTCCGTAGCAACAACACGCAGTCGGGCACAGGACCGCGTAGACGGATGGGAGAAGGCGAAAAGGCAGGAGAGGAGGGGGAGAGAAGGAGGAGCAGGAGAGGAGGGGGAGAGAAAAATTAGGAGGAGGAGGAGGAGGAGGAGGAGGAGGAGGGGGAGGAGGAGGAGGAGGAGGAGGAGGAGGAGGAGGAGGCGGAGAGGAGGAGGAGGAGGAGGAGGAGGAGGACGAGGAGGACGAGGAGGACGAGGAGGAGGAGAGGAGGAGGAGGAGGAGGAGGAGGAGGAGGAGAAGGAGCAGCAGCAGGAGGAGGGGCCGTCCTCGAGCTCCAAGGCCCGCACCACCGCGCCCGTGGCGAGGAACACCCCGGTCTCGGGCGCCGAAATGTCGCCCCCCTCGCGCACGGCGAGTCCGCCCCTGAGGCCAACGCTCGGCCCGAGAGGGGTAGAGGAGGAGGCGGAGGAAGAGGAGGAGGAGGAGGAGGAAGAGGAGGAGGAGGAGGAGGAGGAGGAGGAGGAGGAGGAGGAGGAGGAGGAGCCCCCCCCTCCGCTCTCACTCCTCCTTGCCTTCCCCCTCCTCATCTTCATCCCCCTCCTCTTCTCCCCCCGATCCTCCCGCCTCCGATTATCATCTCGTTCCGGGCGTCGGCAGGGGGAGCGGAGGAAGGGGAGGAGGCGGACCCAGAGCTCCAACGTCTTGAAAAAAGCAGGACGGAGGTGCGGCGTTGACCCTCGGCGTCAAGATGCCGCTTTCGGGCTCCGCGGCCGTCAACAAAAACGACTCGGGATGAAAAACCAGTCACCAGGAAGTTTGCGGAGAGGCCTGGGGACCACGCAATGAAAAAATCAAGACACCGGAGGTATGGGGAAGAGGAGGAGGAGAAGGAAAAGGAGGAGGAGGAGAAAGAGGAGGAAGAGGAGGAGAAGGAGGAGGGGCAGGAGGAGGAGGAGGAGGAGGACGACGACGACGACGAGGAGGCGGGGGAGGAGGAGTAAGAGGAGGAGGAGGAGGAGGAGGAGGAGGAGGAGGAGAAGGAGCAGGAGGAGGAGAAGGGGAGGAGGAGGAAGAAGAAGAAGAAGAAGAGGAGGAGGAGGGAGGAAAAGGAGGAATAGGGAGGAGGAGGAAGGGGGAGGAGGAGGAAGAGGAAGGAGGAGGAGGAGGAGGAGGAGGAGGAGGAGGAGGGGAGGAGGAGCAGAGGCAGCGGCAGGAGCAGGAACAGGAGCAGGAGGAGGAGGAGGACGAGAAAGAGAAGGGACGGGGAGATCCTGGCGCCGCCACCAATCACAGTCCACATGCTTGCGTCCATCGTTGATGCCATCCTTGGCGGCGCGGTTCCTGAAAGCCTTTCAGGGGCGGGGTGGGCCGAGACTTGAGCGCTCTAACAGCCTCCTCGATCCGAGATGGCTGCGAAGAGCAGGGAGGAGGAAGACGAGGACTGCGAGAGGGGAGGGGGCGATGGCTGGAGCCTCGCCGAGCTGGTCGACGGCCGATTGGGAGGACGGGGAAAGGGGGCGAGGAGGACCAGAGTAAGCTCTGATAGCGCAGCACCGACGCTGCAACGCATCCACAAATCTCAAGTTCCTATTTCATATCATCCTCATCGTCCTCCTCATCGTCAACAACATCATCATCATCAGCAGCAGCAGCAACAACAACAACAGCAGCATCATCACATCATCCTCATCAAATTCACCTCATCATCATCATCATCATCATCATCATCATCATCATCATCATCATCATCATCATCAGCAGCATCAACATCAACATCAGCATCAGCATCAGCATCATCATCATCATCATCATCACCATCATCATCATCAGCATCATCATCATCATCATCATCATCATCATCGTCATCATCATCATCATCAGCATCATCATCATCGTCATCATCAGCATTATCGTCATCGTCAACATCATCATCATCATCGCCATCATCCTCATCATCATCAGCATCATCAGCATCATCGTCATCATCAGTATCAGCAGCATCATCAGCATCATCATGAGTATCATCATCAGCATCATCAGCATCATCATCAGTATCAGCATCACCGTCATCATCATCATCAGCATCATCATCAGCATCATCAGCATCATCATCATCACCATCACCATCACCATCACCATCATCATCATCATCATCATCATCATCATCATCATCATCATCATCATCATCATCATCATCATCATCATCATCCTGGCCCTCCTCCTCCTTCTCCTCCTCCTCCCCTTCCTCCCCCTCCTCCTCCTCCTCCTGGTCCTCCGCCGCCTCTGCCTCCTCCTCGTTCAGATCCTAGTCGCGGCGAGCTGTCTCCAGCAAGCGGTCAGCGAGAGCACAGAGAAACAAAAGAGGAGGAAGACGGCGGCCGCGGAAGGAGGAAGAGGAAAGCAACCCCTTTAGATCGTGAAGATCTTGTATCGGAGTGCTACGACCCAGGCTTCACCGAAGTGGTGCAAAATAGAACGTATGCGCTCTGAGACACACAGCGCTCGTTTGTAATCCCACTCATGTCTGAACCTGGTCATTCCCAAATCCTGGCCATGAACTAGAAAAGAGGGGCGCCGACGCACAGGCTTGTGACAGCACGCGAGGCAGCGGCTACAGGCAAGCTGACACCGACAGAAACGGCGCAGCCAGCTACAGTTGCAGTAAGACAACAACCACGGGCCCAGCCCGAGGTCAGGCTATTATCACCGAGGGCATCCCAGGGACCATGCTTCGGGGGCCATCCCGGTGCCATGATGATTTTCGCAGATGGGGCCACCATGGGCCCAGATCATACCTTCCGAGGCCATCCTGGGAACATGCAACTTCTGGGGCAATCCCGAAATCATCCTGTTTGCACTTTCTGGGACGGTCCCGGGGCCGTATTTTCGCTGTCTGAGGTCACCGCAGGGCGATATGCTTCGCAGTTTCTGGGGACATCCCGGGGCCATCCTTGTCGCACTTTCCGAAGGAGAACTCTGCAGCAGCATGCAGTGTGATAATCCCACCAGCCAAGTGGGCGTAGGTGGCTGAACGGAGGCCCAGGAACACCCCAATTTGGCGCCAAAAGGGGTCCAAGAGGCGGTTTTGAAGGCCCCAGAGGGGGAGGCCGCCTGGTGGATGGCCCAAGAGAGCTCCAAGCCGTGCCACGAGGCCTCCGAGACGGCCCCAAGAGCGCCCCAAGGTGGCCCAAAGATGGCCTCAAGAGGTTGTTTTAAAAACCCCAAAAGGTGGGGGGCTAGCCCCAAATAGGGGGGCCTTATCGTTTCCGACGAGCCGTTGCGGCGTACGGAGGTGGAGCCCCCATTGGTGCCCAGTGACTGGCGCATCTGGCGCGACTGGAGCACGTGGAACACTGGGCGCACGTGGAGCACGTGCCGCAGCTGGCGCGCATGGCACGCTTGGGCCTCCAGGGTCTGGTGCATATGGAACCCGTGGCGTCTGCGGAGTTCTTACGCGATATGCTAACTCCCGGGTGTTGCGTATGTGTTGGGAAGGCGGGTGGGAGTGAGCTAGACGGCTTACGGGCGGGTGGGTAGCTTGACCCCTCCCCCTACCCCCTCCCCTGGGCCTGGGAAGGGGGGGGGCGCGAGGCGTTAGAGCCCCGAAGATGGCCCAAGGTGGCGCCAGGAGGGCCTCAGGGGGCCCAAGATGGCCTCCAAGATGGCCCAATATTCTTCATCATGGCTCCAGATAGCCTCCGACATACCTCCAAGACTCCTCAAGACAGACCCCCAAAGAGGACAAAATGGCTCCAAAACCTAAGGAATCTCAATGTTGTTTGCCTTCTCGCCGTTTCGCTTCCGACTGGCCTCTGAAGCCCCAAGATGGTTTCAAGACGGCCCGAGAGAGCCCCAACAGGAGCCCAAGAGGGCCCCAAGAGGGCCCCGAAAGCGCCCAAGACCGCCCCAAGAGCGCCCCAAGAGGGCACTAAGACCGCATGTTTGAGCCTCCAGGGGGGGGGCCTGAATTGAGGACTCCCCTCTTTTTGAGCTACGGGGGCAAAGGCGGCCCCAAGAGACTTCTGAAACCCGCCCGAGAGGTCCAAAGAGGGCCCCAAGATGGCCCCAAAAGAACCACAAGAGGGCCCGAAGAGGGCCCCAAAGATGGTCCCAACAGACATCCGACAACCTCACAACAACACCTCCATTCGCCTGGCGAACTGTTTCCAAAGAGGGCCTCAAGAGACCCCAAGATGGCTTCCAAGATGGCTCAAGATAGCTCGAGATGGATCAAGATAGCCTCCCACATGATCGTATCCACTCGCCTGGGTATCGGTTTTGGATGGACTGGTGGGGATACGCCGCGCATCAGCAATTCATATTGGAAGCGTTCGCAGTGAAACAAATCTTTTTATTTGTTATAAAAAATGGCTGGTCAGCACCACCACAGCGATGATCACTGTCATCTGCAAGCCCACGCATAGCTCATCCCTGCAAGTCGCTCGCGGGCACGGCGGGGCTGCCAGGAAAAGTCAAGGTTGCGGGCTCCTGGACGGCCCAGCAGCAATCGTCAGCACAAACTTGAGAGCAAACCTCTACGTCAAGTTCGCGCTAGGAGCCCCCCCATCAGGAGGCAAGCGCGATCGCCACAAACGATCCACCATAATCTCCTTCACGGGACGCCACTTCTGAAACAAACGGGGAGACGAGCATGCAGAGGAAGAGGTCCAGCCCAGCTGACCTCTACACTCCCTCGACTGGAACACGGACACGGAAGGTGCGTTGTAGCCGCGCTGCGCGCCATGGCCGCATTGTCGGCGCGCAAGTGCCTGGAGCCTCCACGTTGGCCCCTCTTCCTCTAGCCCAGACCTGGAATGGCCGATATCAGGAGGCCGTCGTCTGAGGAGGGTAGCAAACCCCAAAGGGAAAAGACACGCGGCTGAACGAGCGGGCGCACAAGGCAAGCATGAATCTCAGGGCGCGTCTGATGGCTCGGGTCCAACTGCACTCCGTGCAAGTGATGGTGCCCTCGGCGTCTCCATCATTGAGATGGTGAGCTGTGGGCCTCTTCCTTGCGCGTTTAGTGATGATGATCTCTGGTGTCAAGCGTCTGCCAGCATCGGCAGCAGCCGCTTCCTGGCCAGTGCATACCCCCCGTCCATCGAGCAAACTGTCGATGTGATACTCTCTGTGACACTTGGTACACTTCAGACGCGGAGCCGAATTCCACTCGATGGGAGAGAGAACGTGAAACCCATTCTCTGTTGCCGTAAAGTTGTACAACAGTAGCTCTTCTTCCGCATGCAGGGCGCGACCTCTGAGGCCATGGAGTGCTGCTGTTTCCTGCACGATCCAGGTCGCAGCCGCTGCTGCCGCCAAGATCGGAACTGCTTTCTTCGGTCTCGAGCCTCGCACTGCCACGGCAACCAACGCTTGCCCTTCCAGAGTAGCAGCCAAGTTCGAGCAGTCCAACGTCAGCCGGCGCCAGATCGGCGGCAAAGAAGCCCCCCGGAGCGGCGCAACAGCCGCTATGAAAAATACCGGGCCGCGATGGCCATCGCCGCTTCGAAGATAACTGCCGCGGTGGCATCGCGCACAGGAGAGCGAGGCCGACGCGGAGAACCAACAGCAGGTCGCGCACCCAAGGCTACCGACGATCGCGCTGGCTCCACAGCGCTCCTCTCGCTGCGCGGCAATACCCTGGGCAAGAGGCCTTCTTGACAGATTGCCGCCATTCGTAAAGCCGCCGCGCTGAAGCACCTGGCCGCGCGCTCGAGGGCGACGCCGTCAGGGCCCTCGCTCGGCAGGCAGGGTAGAAGTCCAGTAGCTAAAGTGACGTCGATAGAGAGCCCCATCCACGTCGCGCTCTGCGGGGAGATCTCCGCGCCGCCGTGACTCCGTTCCTGCTTGGAGAAGTGGCATGCCAACTCATGCTGTCGGCAGCCCCACTCATCTGCTTTCAGATGATCTGGGGCCGCTGCCGAGAACTTCCATCGCGCGATCGGCACTACGGGGCGCCATTCATATCCAGGAAAAGTCGCCCCAGGTGCACGCCCCAAGGGATCGGCCGTTCGGTCGGGAGCAGGTGGCGCTGGAGGCGAAGCTGGGGCGGGTGGTGATCCTGCCGTAGTCGTCGAGCCGGGGCGTCTACCCCGCGGACGCCGAAATGCCGCGGCAGTCGCGGGCAGTGCGCTGGACGTCCTGGCCCTCGCCTGCGCGGGCCCCAAATCTGGCGCACTCGGTGGCCCATGGGTACCCGAACGCAGCGCAGTCCTCGCATGATCACAGACAGGCGCTGCACTACAGCCATCGCCAAGTCCATCGCGCGCGCAAGGACCCTCTTCGCCGATGTCGTCGCGAAAGGCCTCAGCGTCATCATCAGCATGGCGATTCTCGGCCTGCAGGTGCGCATGAGACCGTTCGCACCTGGCGCCCCGCGCAGCTTGCCCCATGGCCTTGAGCGCTGCAGCTCGCGCAAACAGGAACCTCGCAACTGTCGATCATGAAGGCGCTGTTGGAGAACAGGAACTGGCAGGGCACGTCGTCTGGCAGCTTCCCCAGCTCGCTTATCAGCAGCACGATTGCATTCCCAGAAGGAGCGGCCCCCCGGCGAGATTCCCTCTGCTTCCTTGTGAGCTTTGATCTACTGAGTATCAAAATGTTAGACTCCTTTGTCCCTGGCGCCTCCCTCGATGGCTTGCCAGCGGCTCTGGCGGGCGTCGGGCTTGGCGCCCTCGCCTCGCTGAATGGCCGACGCGAGCCCCGCGCAGTACGCAACGTCCGTTAAGTAGACCTGGGAACACCGTGCCAACATACCCAGTGGCGAACAGCTGCAGCCTCAGCACGTCGAGCGCCTTGGGCAACTGAGACACATGGCACGCGGACGCTCATGACATGGCGGGGGGCGCATCATACGGAAAAGCCGCTGCGTCGGAAACGAAGGTCACTGGTCTGTCCCGGACAGGCCCCGCCCCCACTCACAGCTATAGAGCCATCTTCAATAAGGAAATGTTCGTCGCTATCTCCGCGACGCGGCGGGGATGGCAACGAGGGGCCTTAAGGGAGTAGACGAGCGCAGAATCCATCATACTCAAATCGGTCCAACATCATGCCGCAGCGCTTCGGGCACGGCGGCGACGCTAACAGAGAATCAAAAGCACGCAGGTCCATGCGATCCTGCCGCCCCGCAACCCAGCCCTGACACGCGAACGAGATGCGGACCGCGCCCACCCCGCCCTGGCCTCGCAGAAGGGACGGGCCCGATGCGTTTCTTTCTTTCGTGGCGCGCACCAATCAGGGGCCCGCGGCGGCGGGGCCCCGGAGGTGCGAGCGTAGAAGTCGAACCTCTGCATGCGTGGTCTTTGGGATCGCGACGTCACTGGCGGGCGTGGAGATGGTCTCGGGCACCAAGGGCCGCTGAGGTCGTTCATCGCCTGGCTCATGCCCCCCTGCATCCCGCGCACGCTCGGCGCGTCGGGGAACAGCCGTCGTCGCGTAGTAATTTAGCTGCGATAGACCTCGCACGTCCTGCCTTTCGGAGAGCTGCTCGTCGCCCTCGATAACAAATCTGCGCACTGCGCGCATCCACTGGCCTTGAGGTTGGCCCGTCACTGAAGTCGCCTCACTCGAAGGCCCGGCGAAGGTCTCACGAATTTCTGCCCAGGTCCATCCCAGAGCCATGGAAGCTGGGAAGAGTCGACCAACGGGTCCGCCAGAAGCTGACAATGTCTCACGTGACATCATGCAGATCTGCTTGGCCAGCGGCCCCAGCCGGCGCGCGCCGCGCGAGGACCTGCACTGGATCAACCGATTGTCCTTTCACAGCAAAAGCAGGGCTTCGAAGAGAGGCACCCTTCGCCCGAGAGAAAGCGGACGACACGCGATCTGAAATCGCGACAATTCTTGATCCCAAGACCACGGAACTCTCGCCAAGATGCTAGGCGTGGAATTGCGGCAGCACTGATGATACGTTGCTTCCTTTTGGCTCACTGGGGACAGCTGGGTGCGTTTGACCACTCGGAGAGCGCCGTTGAACCTCCTGTCTCGATAAATCGGTGATCATGCACCACCAGTGCACAATTCACCGCCAACTAAAATTAGATGCCGTGCGAATTGAAGTTCAAAGTCCGGTAAAATCTCCGCCAGGTTCGTCATCAGCTCGCGTCCGCTGGCCATTGCCATCGCGGAGAACTCGGTCTTTCTCTCGTGCGCCGATGTGCCTGCGTGCAAATCCAAATCAAAAGATGCCTTCGGCGCCAACTCAACTTGATGACCGTGACCCCCACCTGTTGCCCGACCATGGCCGTTGCCGATGAGCGTCGAGACTGCGACTGCGACTGCAACTTCGATTACATACGACCGAACACTCATCAACACCGGGGCCTGTTAAAGACTCGAGCTGCCCCCTGGAATATTCCCACCTCGTCGGGCCCGTTCTGGGGTTCGAGTAAAGCTCCGAGCGTTCATGAGGCGCGCGCGCGCTCCATGGCCGGCGCGACCTCGCAAGCCACCGTCCGGCAGCGGCAGCCCGCGCGCGCGCGCCGGCAGCCCCTGGGCGGAGCCGACCTTCGCGCCGCTTTGTCACGTCAAGAAACCCGGCACCCACACTCGCTGCGCACAGCGGGGAGAGGTCGGTGATGGGCCGCGCCTGGTCAGCCTCCGCCTCCCAGAGCTGGCCTGGGCCAATGTCGGCAGCATGGTCAGCCTCCATGCCCCACTCAGGCAAACACGATGCGATGCCCCTGCCGGGTACGCGAGGCCATCCCGCCAATTCATCTTCAACTCCATTTAGAAGCATCGCGCACACGTCGAATATAAAATCCGGTAGAAGTCGCAGGTCAGCAAATCGCCATCCACCCAGAGCAGCCGCCCGCAAGACAGACAGATGTTTGAGCCAGTGCCGCAATGCAAATGCGCTCAAAAGAGGCAGCTCACACTCCGCTGGTCTGATGTACTCGCCGCACTTGGCCTGGCAGGCCCCCCAATCCCAGAGCTTCGGCTCGCTGCGAAATTGGCCCCCGCACCTGGTGCACGCAATCATGGACGTCAGCCGTGGCCACGAGAGCACTGCCACCCAGCGCCGTGACAGCACGCACTGAGGAACACTGACGTTGTTTCATCCAGGAGCATAGCTCGCGGCCTCATTCGCGGTGCAGGCTTGTTCGCAAACGATCTCTCCAATCCAATATGCGAGCCTTCAACCGAGCAAGAGAGATTCCATCCTGCTTTTGCTTGAGCTCATCTCCCGATTACTGCACGTCTTGGTCCTCTGCAAGTGCCCAGGTGCGGCTTCAGCAGGAAGCCGCAATTGTCGCCGCACCTGGGGGCGCACCACCGCCCAAAGACGCTGGCAACGTTGTCGGTCCGGGAGTTGATCCCCGCTTCGAGCTCGCGGAAGAAAACGAAATTCAAAGAGCCGACCACCGACGTCGCCAAGCGCGCGGCACCCAAGTGCAGCCTGCCACTCTGGAGCCGTCTGCAAAAGTCAACGGCAAACCCCCCCGCCAACAAGGCCGGCGGTGCGCATGCCCAATAATAGCCGTCATTAGAAGGACCTGCTGCAGCCAAACGTGCACCCAGAAAAACCTCTGCAATTTGACCCGTAGCTTGCCACGCCACGTCAGCATCAGACTGCTTCAAAGACAATTGAGAAACATCCCCGCGTGAGTCGATTGCCGCTCTTCCTATCTCGAACTCGTCGTCCTCCGAGATCTTGGGCGCCGCAGCTGCGGGGTAAGGTAGCGGCATTCGAAGGCGTTGTCGCGTCGGCCGCAGCACGTTTAGCTCGAGCTCGAACTGCAAGCCTAGGCCACCCTTGACCCCGAGGTCTCTGCGGAGCTCGAACGAGACAATCATATGTTTGGCTGGGGCGTTGGCGATGACCACATCGACCCCGCCTCGTCGACGGACGGCACCCCGCGCGAAAGATGGCGCTCAGGAAGGGCCCCACACACACACACACACACACACCACGGAAGCACTCGCACCCGCGCATATGACGATGGCCCACTCCCCCAGAACAGCACAATCTTCAAATACTAAATCCATATTCCATGAGTTACGCGCGCGGCTCAATGAGCACCCCGCATCATTGCACGAGTTGACGGGGGGGCTCACCACCGAAGACAAGGGCCGCGCGCGTCCAGCGCGCGGCAGCACGCAGTTCCCTTTTCAGCTCCCCATGCTCGTCCGCCATCATGTCCCGCGGACAGTCCTGCTCGGGCGAGCGCGGCCACTCCTGCCTGGGCAGGTCCGCCCAATTTTTCGCTCGGCCCCGTCCGAGGTCGCGTCGGGAGGCCAAAGAAGGAGTCGCATCCACAATTCCTGGCGGCCTGAGCGGCGGCACGCTGCCCCTTGGCGTCCAAGGGCGTCTCTCGCCCCAATATCACGTCAGCGGCTGAATCGCCCAGCCTATCCTTGAAGCTGTTCCAAGCCGAGATGATCACGCTAAGACATGAAACAAGCTTGGAAGTCGGATCTCCGGGTTCACTCGCATGCCCACCGGCTCGCACTCGCGCTATAGCGCGGCGGCCTGCTGAGAAGAACTGTTATCTCCCGAACCTGAGATCGCGCTCTGCCCCAGCGCCGATAAAGATCGAGCAAGCCCACTACTGCGGGCAGCCAGCCGCGCATCTACATGCGAAGCATGCCCCTCGGCCTGCGCGATTACGTCGGCGAGAAACTTCTCGAAGTCAGGGTCGAGGCCGCCGCCAGCCGACGGCAGCGGGTCGACTGGCACTGACACTCCACCAGGTCGCGGCCGAGGCGAACCACAGCACAGGAGCGGAGACAACCTGGCAGCGGTCGGTGCCTCGGCTTGAATCTTCGGAACTGCTTGCGCCGAAGGTGCGCCCTTGGTCATCGCATCAGCCCGCAAGGGTGCTGTCGGTGCCAATTTCGGAACCTGGAGTAGACTGCTGGTTGATAACTGCTTGGACGCCACCTACGCTGATGCCCCACACTCTTGGGACTTCTTTCGCTCTGACCAGGAGCATGGGATGCGCCTTTGCCCCCTTGCCCGCCCCCCCCCAGACGGGCAGCTCCGTTGCCCAACCGATTCGACACTTCAAAGCCTTATAGACGCCAGCACCCTCGATGTTCTTCGGCAAGGGGGCGATTTCCCACGCAGCAGGCATCGGGGGCGCGTTTCGCCCACGCCTCGGGCGCGCTGGTCTTCGCAACGCGGAAGTACAGCTCGGCGCCGTTGCTCCGGCGCGCGACGCCCAGGCCGCCGACGATATCTCAAGCCAAAGACAACGCCTCTGTCATAGATGCCCCAGCAACGAACGGAACGAAGTCCTCGGCCCCATTCTCTTTTGCAAAAACCCTCGAACCACCAGTCCGAACACGCTAAAAAGAAACGCAGTCGAAGCCAGACCAGGACCTGAAATGGGCCGCCTCCGATGGGGCCACTTTGGAGGGGCCGCCGATAACCCTTTGGCCCGCAATTGCCTCATTGAACAACCTGCCAGACCACGCTGCGATGTCCCCAGCACAGTGCCGCGAGGTCTTTGCGCGGACGATGGTGGCCAAATTCGCATCTGATACTCGCCATGGCTGGATAGGTCGGAACCCTTTGCGATCACCGTCTGCAACCACTGAGCCTGGCCGCGCAGCTTGAGCAAGTCTTTGAAACTGACCACCCCTGCCGCAGCCATCTTGAACGTCGCGACCTGCATTGATGCCGTTACCCGGTCACCTTCCCAAGATGCGACAGCAAATTGCCTCGGGGGGGGGGGAACTTTCACTCCTCGGGCGCCTCCGCCCGCCCAGATGGGCAGCCGCCCAATGACCCAGCGTCCCCCAACGATAAGGGGAGCGCTCCTGTAGTTCATTCCTTCTGCGAGATCACGACGCCCAGCAGGCGCGACCAAATCCCTGGGAACTGTTCGCGGGTCCGCGGCCGGAAACATCGCAAAAAGTGTAGGCGGCATCTCTCCAGCCCACCAGCTGTCGCCGTGAAGTCGAGCTGCCACTTGTGCCACCGTCACGAGGTACACTTCGTCATGGGTAGCAGTAGAGGCTGGTAGACCACTTCCCACCGCGATAACCCAATCTGCTGGATCGAGCTCAGCTGCGCCATCCAATGTCGGTGTAGGTGTTGAAATCATTGTCTTAAAGTTTGTTTTGTTTAGGTCTCCTCCTCGGACTTCTCTTAAGTAATGGTGGTCAACTACTGATCGGATTGAAACGGAGTCGGCTTCGTGTCCAAAAGAACCTGCTTCAACCACTTCTGGATCGCGGATGCAATCTTTTGCACTGGGAGTTCCGCTAGCTCCGACATCTTCTCCGTGGAGAACTCGCGCAAATGGTCGTAGACCGCCTGCGGCTTTTAAACCGGTCATATTGGAGAGCTGCGATCACTCTCGCCTGCATTTGAGCTGGCGTGGAAATACTTGCAGTGAGGCTGCCCTGTTATGCCATCACGCCATGTTTCTGTTTGCGGGTCAGTTGGGCGTGAGAGAACTTCATTCCCATGTGATGCATGCTGCAGCCGTTTCAAATGACGGCGTCTCATAAGCCAGCGGTTGTAAAACTCGAGACCATATCGTTCATAGCTTTTGAACAGTACAGGTCTTTCACCAAAAACTGTGATGCCAATCTTCCCGACATCAATGAGGGCATTCCTTGTGAATACAAGCAGCTCCATGTATTTATCAGGAGCTGACTTATCAAGATGAAAAAGATGAGTCTTCGCGCCGTTCCAGGCAAACGACATCACCACAACCGAATCCAGGCACATGGACAGAAGGTCGAGCGTCAGCTGCAACACCCTCTGGTGGCCGAAGGACATCCCTGCAAGAGCATCCTTTTGCACCTTGTGGGGGCATCCCTGGAACACGTTTTTCGCACCTTCTTGGGTCGCACCCTCTTGGGCCATTCCGAGGACATGCTTGTCGCAACTTCTGGGGCCATCCCTGGCATACGCTTTTCGCATTTTCCGGGGCCACCCCAAAGCCATACTTTCCGCGCCTTCTGGGGCCGTCCCGGGACGTGCATTTCGTTCATTTAGGGAACATTCGGGGCCATGCTTTTCGCACCTTCTGGGGCCATCCTGTAGCAATCCTTTTCGCAACGTCCGCGGGGCCATCCCGGGGGCAATTCCTTTTTGCACCCTCCGCGGGGCCATCCGGGGAAAATCTTATTCGCACCTTCTGAAGACATCCAGCGGACGTGCGTTTCGCACCTTCTGGGGCCACCCCAGCGCAATGCTTATTGTCGCTGTCGAAAATCCCGGGGCCGTGCTTCTCGCTGTCTGGGGCTGGCCATGCTTTTCGCACCTTCTGCGAACGTCATCCGGGGGCCATGCCTCTCGCACCTGCGATCCTGGAGCCATGCTTTTCGCACTGCCTGGAATCGTTTGGAGGCCATGCCTTTCGCACCTCCTAGGGACATCCGGACGCGTGCCTTTCGCACCTTCAAGAGGGACATCCCAAGGCCTATGTTTTTCGCTGTCTGGGGCCATCCTGGGCACATGATTTTCGCAATTTTGTTGGGTCATCCTGTGGACGTGCTTTCCGTGCCAAGGCGCTGCAAGGAGGAGGGATATCCGCGTCTTCATGTCCGATTCGATTCTAGCCGCTTATGGTTCCAGCTACGTTTTAGAAATGAGGGGTGCCGATGGGAGAGGCTTGCACGGTCGTAGTTGACTTGAGAGCGTGGCGCCCTCAATCCTTGTAGCCGGCCGAAGCTGTGTGAGACATGTGCGAGGCGCCAGAGCGACACCACGATTTTGAAAATGAGCTGCCCTCCATCCGTGCAAATAGTGTACGACGATCACACCTAAGGGGGTACAAGGCGATAGCTTGACTATAAAAATTGAGCCGCCCTCAATCCCTTCGGTTGATAGGATGTTCAAGCTTTATGACCGAGAAGCTCGAGGAAGCATCCTGCGGGAGCCATGTTCAGAGAAGATGCCATCCTCCATATCTGACACTGTTGGAGGTTCACGCCTCAGGCTCATTCAAGAAAAGAGGTCCTCCCAGAGCACGATTTCAAAAAGACGCGCCATCTATACATACAGCTACTGCAAAAGTCAAGCCTCACCACCTGAATGATCCATATATACGTATACATAGATGTGTGTCTGTATGTATGTGTATGTCACATCAAGCGAGAGCCACGGTTTGAAGAGATACCGCGCCACCCTTTTAGCTGTTGGACTGACGTGCGACATATGCGCACGGATCCAAGACGATAACTGCACTTTGAACAGTTACGCCATGCACCCGTGTGACTACTGTAGAACGTGGAAGACGAATGTGCTCGGCGAGAAGGCGAGCATGTTGAAAACGGGGCACCCTGCATCCATGAAACTGGTGTACACTCTATAAAAGGTTAACGTGCGTGACGCTAGTACAAGAGCCACACGCTTAGAACAACCCGCCATCCGTCCGTGAAGCTGCTGGAGATACTCAACATGCACAATGCTAAAGCGCTTCCTCGTCCAACCCTTGTCTCCGCCTTCGGAGCGGGGATAACTGCGCTCCTGATCAATGAACGCCCCGTTCTCCACTCGACCGCCCCCGCGCTGAACCAGGGTCTATGCAGACGCCCCAACACCAACCTGATCAAAATAACACAACCAAGCGCACGCTGCGGGCAAAATCTGGATCGTGTTCGGGCGCCCAGCGATCACGATGTATTGTCTGGCTGGCAGGGGCGGCGGAGGGGCGCACGTATCGTTCACCCCCGCGTGCGCAGCTCCACCACCCATGCAAAAACAGATGCTGAGTGCAAGTTGCTTGCGAATCTTGGACAATGCGCGGGCGCCCCGCTACCACTTTGCACTCTTGTTGGAGATGACAGGGGGGGTCCACATGATTGCGTGGTACGCGCAGGCCCACCACCCCTGCTCAAAAACAAATGCGAAGTGCTGTTGCGGGTGCCCGCACCACACACCATGCTGACCACCCAGCCGCCGCGTCTCATCTGCCTTTGACGCGGATCGCGGGAGGGGGGGTCGACACGTTTTTCCCGATGCGTGCTATCAGGTGTGCAGGCGCACCTTGCACACCCTGCGCGCGCCGCGCACGTGGCGCACACGGCACGGGTGGAGAACGTGGCGCCCTTGGCGAACGTGGACCCCGCGGCGCATCGGGCGCACCATGGCGCGCGCCTGGCAAGCTTGGGTCCCCGGTGTGCCTGGCGCACCCGGTGCGAGAACCGCACCTGGCGCGCGCGGCGCACCATGCGAGCGCCACGCGCCTGGCGTCTGTGTCCCTGTGCTCACCGGCCCTCGCCGGCCGCCCGCCCAGCGGCAACCTCTGCCGACGCTGAGCCTCGGGTGCTGCTCGTGCGGTCGGTGGGCGGGCGGGAGCGAGCGAGGCGGCCAGGCCCCGGGAGGGGGAGCTCAGCCCAGACCCCTAGCCCCCCACCCCTGGGTCTGGACGGGGGGGGGGGCAAGAAAGCTCAGGGTGGCTCAAGATGTCCTGCAGCATGCCTCCAGGAGTTCTCGAGAGACCGCGCGTCGAGACGGCTCCAGGTGGCTACGGAGCCTCCCGAGGACGCCCCCGAGGGGCCAACATCTGTCCAAAACCTGCGGAGCCTGCGGAGACAACTGACGTGTGCTGTCTCGCACTGCTGCATCCGGTGCCCTTCTAAGGTCTCAAGCTGACTCCAAGACCTCCCAAGAGAGCCCCAAGAGTGGCCCACACGGGCTCCAAGACGGCCTCAAGCTCCCAAGAGCGCCCAGGAGCCGCCCGCGAGCGTCCTGCGAGGGTCTTTAGAAGTGATGTATCTGGTGCTAGAGGGGTAAGGTTGTTAGGGACCGCCGCCCCCCCCCCCAAGATTGCTACAAGAGACTTCCAAAGATTGCTCCAAGAGACTTCCAAAAGGCTGTCAGAGCAAAAGATGCGCATGAGCGAAAGTCTTCATGGATGGCCTCGTGCTCCTCCTCGCCATCGCCCCCTCACGCCTCCGTCCTCCTTCTCGTGGTCCTGATCCTCCTCCTCCTCCTCCTCCTCCTCCTCCTCCTCCTACTCCTCCTCCTCCTCCTCCTCCTCCTCCTCCTCCTCCTCCTCCTCCTCCTCCTCCTCCTCCTCCTCCTCCTCCTCCTCCTCCTCCTCACCTCAATATTAATCCTCCACTTCCTCCTCCGAATGTTCTTCCGCCTTCTGCTCCGCCTTCGACGGCAGGCTCGGCAGTCCCACTCTGGGGTCCGATCCTGCGCATCCCGAACTTTCGGGGATGGACAGACCCCCCTTTAGCAAAACGTGGTTTAGTGAAAAACGACCTGAGGCCCAAACCTGGCGGGTGCAAGCCTGGAAAACGACGGCCGCGGCGCCCTCTCGAGAACCGAAAATGGACAATTCACGAATCGACGTGTCAGGGTAGGAGGTCTGTCCACCCCCGAAACTTAGCTCCTGCCAGCTGCGCAACCTCCTGGCTCCGCCGACGGCGCCCACGCTTCTGCCTGGCCTGGGCAGCTCGCCTGGGCATCGTTCTCCTGGGTAGGCCGGTGGAGATGCGCGAAGCACCGGCGATACAGAGTGGGCGTACGTTTCGGGAGCGGGGAGGGGGGGACGCCCGGTCCGCTCTGCTCAAAGGTCGGGTGGTGTGGTGGGCATAGCTGTATTGGGGTGGAGGAGGTGGAGGAAGAAAGAAAGGACGGGGACGAGGATGAAGAGGATGGCATACGAGGGTGGACGTCTCTACCCCTCCCCACACACACACACACACCACTCACCCCCCTGATCCCTCTTCCCCGCCCACATGTGTTATACGCATACAGAGAGAGACATCTGGGCATGTCTCTTTACCTCTCACCTGCTTCGCTTCTTTCCTCACCATCCCTCACTCCTCCCTGGTCACGCTTTCATCATCCCACTCATTATCCTCTTACTCCGCCTCCTCATCCTCCTCGGGGTCTTCGTCCTCCTCCCTCATCCTTCACTATCTTTGTCCTCACCTCTCTGCCCCCTATTGGTCTATCCTCCTCGCCGTTGCCGCGCAGCTCGTCCTCATGTTCATGATCCCTCTCTTCCTCCTCATCCTCATCTTTACCCTCGCCACCATCATCGTCACATGTATCATACTACTGGTGAAGATCCGTCTCAGCATCTTCATAATCACCACCACCACCATCACCATCAGTATCATCATCAGCATCATCATCACCATCAGCATCATCATCATCATACATCATCACCTGTCTCGTCATCAGCATCATCAACATCATCACAATCATCCTCGTCGTCCTCATCATCACCGCCGTTGTCATCATACTCATCCTCATCTTCATCATCACAACTGCCACCGCCACCACCGCCACCACCGCCACCACAATCATCATCACCATCATCATCATCGTCATCATCATGATCAGAATCACCATCGTCGACATCATCGTCATCGTCAGCATCATCGTCATCATCACCGCTACACTCATCACCATCATCAACAAAAACATCTGCTCGTCGACCCCTTATCCTCCCCCTCTTCTTCCCTAACTCATCCACATCCTCCTGATTATCACCTTCCTGCTCGTGGCTTCCATCTCCTCCTGAAGGAGAAAGAGAAGGACATCCAGGAGAAGGAGGAGGAGGAGGCGGCGGAGAAGAAAGAGAAGGAAGACAAGAAGGAGGACCACGAGGAGGAGAATAAAACAAAGAAGGAGTGACAGGGAGGAGGAGAAGGAGGAGGAGGAGGAGCAGGAGGAGAACAAGAAGGAGTGAGGAGGAGGAAGAGGAGGAAGAGGAGGAAGAGGAACGAAGAGGAGTCCTCCTCCGCCTCCTCACTGCTGTCTCCTCATCCTCCTCCTCCTCCTCCTCCTCCTCTCCCCCACCCCTTCTC